GGGCGAGCTCCCCGGTTGGGGAGCGGCGGCCGTCCGGAAGGATGCATCAGAAGCTGCTGAAGAGTGCGCATTACATCGAGCTGGGCAGCTACCAGTATTGGCCAGTCCTGGTGCCCCGCGGCATCCGCCTCTACACCTACGAGCAGATCCCCGTGTCTCTCAAGGACAACCCGTACATCACCGACGGCTACCGGGCCTACCTTCCCTCCAGGCTGTGTATCAAAAGGTACAGTCTGGCTGCGTCCGCGGGCGCGCCTGGGGGAAGCGCCAGCGGCCCGACCTCCTCACCTACACCCTTTTTGTCTGATCTTCCTGGTGCTTTCTCCCGCTTTTCTCCGTGCCCCTCATATACTCCTGCCCCATCTTTTTCATTCTTTTCTGCCACCTCTCCTCTCATTATCTTCCCTCCTCCGCCGTGGTATTTGATCCACGGAATAATGACAGTAGCAACGATCATAATTACCAGCTCTCCTATAGAGGCTTCACCGTTGTAAAAGAGTTTTTACATCCTTTATCCATTTGGTGCGTATTGGGATACACGTTAGAATTGACCCCACCGACAATGGTTGAGCCATATTTTCCCCTGCATATACGTAAGGTTTGTTTTAGAGCAGCCTTATGGAATTTCAGGTGTTTGGGGTCAGATAAATGCCTGTGTAATAGGAAACAAGTTCACATTGCCATATATACGTATTTAGAAACCCCTGATTCATTCATTCGTCAGATACTATGGAGCTCCTGCTAGGTGTCAGACACTATACCAGGTCCTGCAGAGAACAGCAGACATGGCCCTTGTTCTCATGGCGGTACTAAAGTCTAGCCGGGGTGACACACAGTAAGGAGATAATTACACTATTACATAATAACTGCTGTGAAAAACGCTGTGTAGGAAAAGCACTATACCAGACAAAGCCTATAACGGGCACACCCTGCACTAGAGCACTACAGAAGCATTTCTATGAAAGAGATTTCTTCATATCTAAACCTTTAAAACCAAGAATCCTTTGAAAGCCTGAGTTAAAAAAAAAAAAAAAACTGAAAAATTAATGTTCTAATTCTCAAGCTAGCTTTCCGTTAAAACTCACTGTATGTACTTTAAGAGAACTAACATACAGATTTTGGTTAGCTCCAGGTCACTACTGAAAACCCCAGTGCTGGAATGTGGGCAGTTGAATTGTGCAAGCAGTAACCACATGTCTGATTATTGATCTTTTCAGCGTGGTTTTTCCCCAATTCCTTTGCCCTGCCTTGAAAGTGGTTCTGTGACTCACAGTCACAAGGTGACATTACTGTCCATCCCTTTTTGGCTTTAATGGAAGGCCCATAGGACTTCACAATTAGAAGCCTAAGTACTCCTTTCCTCCCTAGTGCCTCCTATGCATAAGTTATTTCACAAGAAATCAGAGCTGGGCCCTGCCATGGATGTGAAGTTCCTTAAGAATAGAGCAGGTAATGAATTGCCTTAAATATTTTATACCCACCTAGCTGTGGTCCTCTGCATTCTGATTTTAGAGTCCAAAACTTATGGATCAAGAAGTGAAATCTAGTCCTTTAGAACTTGGGCTATTGAGTCAAAACAAAAACAAAAACAAAAACAAAAAACCTTGCTTTTCCAGATCTGCCACTTAAAAGCTATGAGACCTTGAACAAAAGTTAACCTCTCTGAGCCTTATTTTCTCCATTTGTAAAAATGAGGGTGATCACAATAACTGCTTCAGAAAGTAATAAAGATTAAATGAGGCCCTACTTAGGGCCTAAGCACACAGTAAATGGTGATGTCATCATGATCATTGATTTCAGAGCTAAACAAATGATGATGATGATTGAGATGATTATTGATTTTGAAGCTGAACAGAGCATGGGCCTAATTTCTCATAGAATAAGAGTAGATCCTCTACTGGGGATCTGCCTTATGCTCCCAAGTGTTCTTCCCACCAGCTTGGTTTTTTCCAGTGTCAGCTTTTGCCCTCTTTTTTAGCAATCAAGAGTGACCAGGACGGATTTTTGAATATAAGGAGAGGTTTTGTATGTCACAGCTGTTCTGCCAATACTTCGTTAGCTGGAACATGCTAAGATTGTGCCTTTTAGTTCAGTTAATTGTGTTATACTGAGTTTCACAAAATGAAAAGTTCCAAGGCAATAGGCAGAGCATAGTATTGATTGTCAAAACAGTCCTATTATTAGATATGTTCCCTCACGTTCCTGCACCTTACCCCCGACAATATAAGTAGTCTTTATACTTGATACTTGTACAGGATAAAGCCTGAAATTAATGATACAAGATTCACTTTATTTTTGATGATCATTTGATATGCTGTTTATGATGTGTGAAAATGGGAAAATGAGAACCATGGTAACTACTGCAAATTCAGTAGATAAGAGTTATATGTTAATGCTTACTAATAAGGATTCTGAATCATTGAAAATCAAAGACCTTAGTTTAGAAAGATTAGATTTTTCAAGAGTATTTTAATCTTTATTCATGATGTCACCTTTCAATAAATCAGATGAGTTCTATCCACAGCTGGAGAAACATTTCACAAAATTAAGAAGCTGGAAGGGACTTACAGCAGCACTAATCCAGCTCTCTTGTTTTATAGATGAAGAAACTGAAGCCAGAGAGGTTAAATGCTTATGATCACAGAGCTAATTTATTATAGAGGGTGGAGGTGAAGGGACAGTGAGCCTCTTGACTCGTGTTCGGAGTGGTACACTCTACACAAACCTGTGTTGTTTTAACTACTTAAACTCGGACCAGTTAGTCAGTATTTTTAAAGAGGGAAAATAGTATTGATTTTAAAAGTAATCTCTTATTGTTGCTTATAAACTCATGCCACCTGGAAATTAGTTTGGTTTCAAAACAGCCACAGCAAAGTTGTTCTAGCATGCCTATCTAAAGGACATTTCCTGGATCAGTTTGTATTTATTCTCCCTCTCTCAAGTCCATTGAACTTTGCATTCACATCAAATAAATACTAAAAAGGTAGTTTAAGTTTGTGCCTAACCTAACACTTAAGTTTTCAGATACCTATTATTGAACATCAAAGTATGCTAATTAGTATCCAATTTTAATCTGCACTTTCATTTCTGTAGACATTTAGCATCTAATTTGAGCAAAATGCTGTGCTTAGAACAGTGGTGTCATAGAGATGAATGGTATCAGCTATGAGGTAGTTGATAGGCTGGAAGATGAGATGGAATTTGTACATAAATAACTAATCCAAGGAAGAAAATGGTAAATGTGATAATACATTTGAACATCCCAAGATTAGTTGTGGAAAAATTTAAAGAAAGATTACTTAAACTGCATGGTATATCAAATTTAGAAAGACCAAGATTGGGTTAAGGGCATAAAGTAGCAAGTGTTAGGTAATCCAGAAAACTTGTCTCTAACCTTTTAAAAGCTGACAGTGAGGTAGCCACTATGAATCTGAGCTGCATGTTTTGTTTTGTTTTCCAGTTTGTTTATTTTATCTAACGAGACAGTAAACATCTGGAGTCATTTGCTGGGTTTCTTTCTCTTCTTCACACTGGGAATATATGACATGACATCTGTGTTACCTTCAGCAAGTGCTTCTAGAGAAGATTTTGTAATTTGTTCTATTTGTCTTTTCTGCTTCCAGGTAAGTCATTTCACAAACACTGTTATTGGTAAAGAGAGCTTTAGTCAGACAAGCTTGGGCAGGTAACCTTACTTCACACCCACTGCTTGCTTTAAAGAGCCCCAAAATAGCATATAGATTAGCTTATTCACTTTCATAACAGAAGCACCAAAAGTATGTTTTATGAAAGTGTATTTGGATGCTATTATTAGAGTATATTAGAAATTAAATAAATTTTATACATTGAGAAAATTCTTTTGTTTCCTTTTCTCTTTTGAGACATCTCTGCTTTAAGATTAATATAAGGATAGGAATCTGTATATTTTCTGGCTGAAGTAGAATATTCTACTGTGAAGTAGAATATTCGTGTCTTGTTTGGGAAGACTTTTCATCTTTTTCCTTATTTATATGTCAGTGATTTTTGTATTTTTTTTCCATACCATCTTAATTTTAATGTCTTGCTGGTATTGATGGTTTCTATTCCTTTAATGTTAATTTCCTTTGGTCTTTTTAGGCTCGCCTAGTTTCAGATACTTTCAGTTTCTCCTCCTCTCTTCTTCTTGTATTTGTTAGCTCCTTAGCACCTTCATTTTACTTCAAGGATCTGTAATAGTGCCTTTAAAGTTACATTTAATAGTCTTGCAAACATAATTCTAAAGAAGAAAACAAATAACCAAAATCCTGTTGACATTTTTTTTATTTAAAAAAGTGCAGAAAGTACAGGAAAACATAAGAATGAAAAGAAAAAAGCTGTCATCCCACTTCCTCCAAATACAGGCCAGTACTCCCTATAGTTAACCTGTTGCTACCCTGTTTGAAGAGTGAATCTGGAAGCCAAGTGCACAGATGTTGCTTTCATTATGACCTTCATCATTTGACTCAAGTTAAAATTTGGAGGGGAAAAAAATCTTTGGACTTAAATGACCAAGAAGCACAGGGGGAACATCTCCCTTCCCCTTTTTTTCTAATTCTAGTTTCTGGAATATTTTAAATTTCTTTGAGGAAAAGAATACCCTGTATTTTTGTGGTGTTATTAGAAAATTACTTTTTCTTTAAGTATTTCTAAAAATATACTTTTTCTCAGGTTTAATTTTTGTCCTGATTGGAGCCTAAACATCTGTTGGAATCCATCTCTAGTTTTAAGATGAAAATAAATAAATTTTTTTATAGTTAAAATTTTAAATGTATCTGATCAGATTAAGATATTCTTAGCAATCATTAATAAGCAAACTGATTTCTACTCCCCTGTTATACAGGTATTACCTGCTTGTAGAATCCCACATGTTTTCCTCTACCCTTAGGCCTGCCCTTTATCCCTTCAACACCGAGCAAGAGCTGATGTTAGTGCGGGGAATATATATTAATTTTCATATTGGTCTAAGAAAACAATACATTGCAAAACTATAAAAACGAAACAATTATAGCAACTGCCAATGAAGAAACACCCAGAAT